AAAATATCCCTGCATTCTATCTATTTATCTAGCCTATTCCAAAATACATTAACTCACGTCCGATCAACAGCGAAAAGAATAAATAATGCGGCGCTGGAACTGAAGTCTTCTTGAGAGAAGTTACGCTCAGCCCTGTTTCCGGCGTCTGTGTTTACAGGTACCAAGCAACGGCCACTTTTACTTCCCTGGCAAGGAGCTGTTGGCTTGAACTGTGAAGCAAGGACTATTAACAAAGGTAAATACTGCCGAGCTTGTTTGTTCGTCATTTACTCCAAGAATATGCATTTAATCCCCTAATACAAATAAAATGTTTCAATAGTTATTAACAGTAACTGGTTTATTCACGTGATTGCAACGGTGCGCCGAAGCCAACAAAAAGCCCAATAATGCGAAGGTAAAATTAATAATATACAGATTCTAGATCTAGATCTAGATCTAGTTCCTAATTTCACAAGTGTTTGTTTTCATTCTTAACATTCATGTTGAATTTATTTTTTTTGCGTATTGTCCTCATATGTGCATGACGTATTTAGCACTTTTATGGGTAGGCTATCATTTTTTTCTGCAGGTGGGGGGAGGTTCAACACTGCTGGCAGTTTTCAGCATAGATTCTAATATAAAATTTAAGTGGGAGAAACTACGATCAACCCTTCTTCAAAAATAAAGTAGGTCAGCAATTTGATTATTTCTATTAGGTATTATATTAATTTATTTTTTTTATAGTAGAGGGTTTTACGGCACTCTCAACTGCATAAGGTCATTTGAGCGCCATTAATAATATTATAGAGTTTAAGTTTAGCTGGTGGTTTTTTCGCTAAGTTTATAGGGTCTGATGGAAATTACTGCATGCAATAAAATGTAAATCTTCATCTAGAATCTAGATCTAGGCCTTATACCTTCTTTTGTCCAAAAGATAAGAGAGAGACAGACAGAGTGTATCCTTTTCAAGTCAATAAAATGTTTCAAGATGTTAAACTTAATTCCAGTGTATCCTGACGTATTTCCAAATATACTGTTCAAAAAAAGAAACACATAACCAAATTGGCCACCGTGTGTAATCGTATATAGATCTATAGCACTGAATAGCTTTTGATATAAGTGAAGGAAAGAAAATAAAATTTTGAAATTTTATTCATTACTGTTTATTGATTATCAACAAAGTTGAACTGATTTTGAACAAACAATTGGATGCCTAATCCGTCCGTCCAAGGACGGCCATTCAGTACCGGGTGTGGCCTCCTGCGGACTGGAGTACCGCTTGTTATCTTCTAGGCATCGAGGCGATGAGACGACAAATGTTGGGAAGTGGTATTGCCCTTCACTCTTCATCCAAGGCGGCAAACATCAAACAGTTCATCAGGAGTGGCAGGGGCAACAACTCTGTTCCGGAGACGTCTATCCAAATGTGTTCTATAGCATTCATGTCCGGTGAATTTGAAGGCCATGGGAGTGTCTGGACATTGTTCCTAGCCTCCAGTTGATGTGCTGAGTGTCTCATTGTCGTCGCTGTTGGCGATGCCAGTCCGTCAACTATGTCCCTTAAAACAGGTCGATATGCGGGGAGCCCTCTTTCTTGGAGTTAGTTGCGTACTGTCTGGTCGGAAATTCTGATGACATTCCGAAGCACTTGTACTGTTGAAGGGGCAGGCACAAAACAATCCCACAGGTTGCGAAGCTGAATAAAGCGATCCTTGACTCGAGTTGTTGCCTTTGGTCGTCCACTTCTCAGTTGATCGAAAGTGGAGTTGGACAATTGAAACCTTGCAAAAAGTTGGCTGATTTTAGACTGTGAGACGTTGAAATGTGTGGCAACATCAGTTTGGCTTTCTCCGGCTTGCAAACGTCCGATAGCCTGGTTTTGCTCTTCTATCGTTAGTCGTGGCATGGTGTATCGCTGAACTGACAAGTGATGAAACCAGTTTTTTTCACCCATTATATACCCACCCAGTGAATGAACCCACTCGCAAAATTTTGTGTGACTGCTCACAAAATTAGACAAGTTGTGAGCTTTTTAACACTCAACCATCACACAATTCAACAGCTCAGGCTGCGCCTACCTGTGAGTAGACAATAAAATTTGTTGGGAAAAGTTCAAAATGACAAATCACAATTATATATGTGTGAAAAAAACTAGCATGCACAAAACCTCGTCTTTACTCATTTTATTATCACGAAAACACATGCACTTGGTTATGCGTTTCTTTTTTTGAAGAGTATATTGTACACTGCTCCTTTACAGAGAGGGGGGGAATATTTTTACCTATCTCAAGAACTGCTCTATTTTCTCTATCAAACATATTTTCTGTTAATTTTTACAAGCTTCTTACTGATTTCATAAAAGAACCAGAAGGTGCATGACATCATATTGATCACATCCTTCAAATGTTGTGATGCTTCTCCTGCGATTCAGTTACTCTCCTGGTCTGAACTGAACAGTCACTGACAAGCTTAAAAAGTGTCAAAAGGAAAACTGAGGACAGGAAAATATGTTGCCTTACTTTGGATAGTGTAAAGCTCACCACTTTGTGCAGCTAATGATTTGTGACAAAACACAATCATTATCAATTTTAGTCAGTGGAAACATTACGAATATGAAACAGAAACAGATCTTACTTATATAAATACTAAAACAAATTCAAATAGTGATGCATTATCCAAGTTCTGAGTACTTAGCTGAAGCAAAACTTTTAAGATCCTAATTCAGTTTAGTTTTAGTAAGAGTTTTATAGCGCTTGCAACACTATTGGCCTATGGTCGTTTAACATGTGCCAAAAATTGTGTTACAAGAGAGTAACAAACACAAAAACGAAAGAGAAGTAATGAGGAGGATAGATGTTTAATGGGAAAGAAGGAGCAAACCGCACCAGAGCACCCGCCAACCACCCAAGATCTTAATTCAAAATTTCATGAAATAATAAATGCAAAATTTGACATTTTTCAACAAACCTCTTATTGTTGGTTTTCAGGCATCATGACGGACAAGTTTGGCACCAAGTACGAGAAGCCTCTGAATTTACCACAGAAAGAAGTGTTTCTCAACGGCAAAGACAAGTCGCTCATATGGACTAGCCCTCCCCATCATGTCCCAGTTTACCCGGACTGGCAAGAGTTGAGGTCTGTTCGCTACAACCCTCGTCTCACCAGATCCAACAGCAACAGCTTTAATGTGGAAGATAACTGGACAGAGTATCATCGTCAGAGGCACACGCCTAGTGGTAATATCTCACACTGACCCTCATCCCTGTTCTGAGTAAACATACTTGTGTGTATTCGTGCATAGAATATCTGCATGTCAGTTAGTATGTCTGGACTTTTAAGAACAGGTCTGCAGACGAATTGATTGATTTCCCTTATAGGTATTGCTATTTACTGTATGTTGAAATTTGCCAGTCAAACAATATCAAAAACTGATTCCTCATATTTTTTCTGAGGAGATTTATGTACATGTGCATGTATCTGAGCTTGCTTCTTTCTGTCTGTAGACCTTGGTAAATAACGTGTTGTCTCCTTTTGCAAACTAATGACTTATTGAACCTTTAATTGCAGTAGCATTTTTTCGATAGGGCAACTTTTGGCATATACCTGGATTTTTTTCAGATAAGATCACATGGAATTGTTTCTGAGCAATCACACTTTGAGGTCTTTATTTCTATACCTTTAACTTTGAATGAGGAAATGACACTTCACTACCCTAGAATTACAAAGTTCTATCTGCTCAGTACCAAGTTTTGACAAATTTGAAGTTTAAAATTTTGATTTTCGCAACACATCAAGCTTTTTGAAATGCAGTTCTTTGAATGTCTTGATAACGACTCTGAATAATCTTGTGATTTTTATAGAGCAGATAGAACATTTGTGAGGCATTTTGGTGAAATCAGGCACTCATCAAAGTAATGAAATTGAAGAAACGCATTTTTTTTCCCACCAGCGTGGCAATTTTTACCTTTTTTTTTCGGGGGGGGTGGGGGGGGGGGGGCTCCATACCTATATTTCCTTTTTAAAAATACTTTTCCATGTGAACTTAAGTGAAAAACGTTGCTTACCGGCACACAATAATGTGTAATTTTTCAATTTTCAAGGACTCTCAAGCTATTGGAGTCACCAAACTTTGGCAGCCATTTTTTTGTTAATTTTACCACTGAAACCAGGAAACCCCACTCTTTCAATCAAAAATATCTTGACTTCCATTTAAGATAGATGATTATTTTTTCATGGAAAGCAAAGCATACGAATAAGCTTTCAAATGATACCAATAACTCCACTTGCCCACAAACTGATGAGTGCCTGAATCCACTGCATTGTGACACATTTGGTTCCTGACCTCATGCTCTTGGTAACTCAAAACGACCAAAAATGTCAGATAGAACTTTGTAATTAACTTTGTTTTCTTAGGGTGAAATAAAATTCCAGTAGACACCCAGCAAGTCAATGAAACCCCCTCAATAGAGACAGACATTTACTCAGAAAGGCCAAGAAAAATAATGTTTCTTCTTGGCATTCCCTTACATGATCTCACAGGTAGTTGACAGCGGGTTCTTCAAGCGGCAGTGCAACTAATTTCTACACGCATATATATATAAGTGACCATTTTTCTTACTTTATATTGCCCCTTGGTTTCAGGTAGCCACCTTCCAATTTCAAAGGTACTCTACGTTTTGTTTAGATTGACTAAAGTATTTTCAATTTAGGTAAGAATAGTTCAAATTTTGTCCGTGTTGCAGCCGATGCCTACTCTTGTCAATTTTAGGACAACCAAGGAATCCTTAGCAGGTGCAATTTGCTCACAGAACCTCCATGATTTTTCGCCCTTATCCAAGAAGGCTACGTGTTCAATCTTACCTACCCTAAGATCAGGGGTGTGGTTGAAAGACTGCAGAAAGAAGAAGCTAGGAGAGGCAGTAAAAAGAATCAGGAGTAAAGTAGAGGGCCCAGAGGAAGCAAGGGATGAGAGGGAGAAAGGGAAGATGAAAGCAGATGATAGAACAGGACTAGAGAACTGGAAAATAGGTCAAAGGAGAAAATTTTTAGAATAAAATTTTTAAAAGAAGAAAGTTTTTTCATCACTGTCAGGTCTCAATATTTGGACCTTTTGAATGAGAGATGAGCACAGTGCCCCAAGAGCCCCTTAACCCTATCCATACGTCGTGTTTTACTATCATATCCATACGACGTGGGGGAACTCGGTGCCACCACTTTCTAAAGAGGAATTTTACTCGTTAATCCGATCCGTACGCTTTGCATAGCAGACTATCAAATGATTTTTTGAGAAATACTGAAAGTTTCACAGAGATCTTCGCTCTAGAAGTATTCTAAAATGAGAAGAATACAACTCCGGGGGTACAAAATGACCCCAGGGCATACGGATAGGGTTAAAGACAATTTGGCTCTAATCATTTTAAAACCTGAAAGTTCTGTATGTGTATCACAAAAAAGAACATACTAAAAATATCCTCCTCTGGCCACAGGCTACTACGGACACTCCATCGGCACACAACCATCCGGCGTGCCTGCTGTGCGACTGGATGGTTACACTCGTCACATCAATGGCATGCCTCCAAGAGATGTTTTCTTGAACCGATGGCCAAAAGCCGATAGCTGGATGCAGCCCGCTCGTGCCCCACGAGGAGAATACTATGGGTAAGTGATTTGTGTGTGTTGAGATGACATTCAGACAGAAGAAATTGTCTGGTTCATTGAACTGTCAGACCTCATGAGCAATTGTCAATTTACATGACATTAAAACAAGTCGAAAGAGACAGAAATTTGTATCTTAACCTAAAATTTTGAGGTAAAAAAGTGGTTCCTGTAACCATTGGAGAAGTTGGGGTGTGATTTGGAATCATTCCATATCAGCACTAGTTTCAAAACTCAGAAATGGAACAAACAGGTAAACCGTTGTGCTGATAGAATATTGTCCTCTTTACTTTTAATGTTTCAAGTCTACTTCAGTGGACCTCGGATTCACACCAGGCCTGACCTAAAATCTCGCTGAAACCGAGTGTTTGTTATAGCAAACATGAAGTTTTGTGTAGATAATTACAGGCACTGAGCAAGTAATGTATACAGAGATGTAACAAGTGGTGCCTGAAATGCCTGCATATTATGAGCTGTGCAAAAAAAAAAAAAGATTCGTTTAAATGCATGCCTATATCATCTCGATTGTTTGCCAAAAAGTTGTGTTGCTGTGTAGAGCCTAGCATACGGTAACTTTTGATTCCATTGACCAGTGCACGTAGATCTATGTCAAGACTAGCTTATTATTGTAATTGTAGTAATGACCAGTTCCAGGGGGGGAAAAAAGACGGACGCGTTTATTTCTGCGACGTTCCACGCCCCGACCGAGGGTACCCCCTACCTCCCGGCACGCACACACAGTCACACGCTAGAGTGGACACATGCGCTTGCTAACAATGTGTGTGTTGGTATGAAAGAAGGCGCCGATTGGTGGCATGCAATCAGTTAAGTGAATAATGGTGCAATGGATGGTTTCTGGGAAAGAGATAAAGTTCGTTAGGGGAGAAAAACCGTCTGAGGGGGCTGTTCACCCTGAAAGCAACCTCGTTGCATCCGAGCTTGCTGATTTAAGTGTTCATTGAATCCGGGTTATTTTTATTGATTTTAAAGAAGAAAAAATACAGGGAACCCATCTCCTTTCATTGAATCCGAGTTCTCGTTGAATCTGAGCTCCACTGTACTACTTCAGTCTCATCTTTGAATTTTCTTAGTTCTGTGTTCACTTGAACATTACTGTTTATTTGTTTGAGTAAAGAGAAGCACATCGACAGAATAATGGCCATTTAGTGCTGGGAAAACATAAGACAGACAGAAACAACAGAGGAAAAATAAAGAAGGACCAACCAGTGGTGCTAGCACTTCTCTGAAAACTTAAAGTTAAAGAGACACGTTTTTCTAATAACACAATTAATTTCCTTGAATACTTCACTTGCTTTTAGATGAAAGTCTTAGTTATAGCATGAGTGAACAATCCATTCAGCTGTTGAGTCAATGTTAACATAAATATAAAACTGACATTGGCCACTGACATGTATGTTTCAAGATGTGCGTATTTTAATTTTTAAAGTTTTAAATTTTAAAATGAAAAAAAAGGAATCAATAGCAAGGCTACTGTTTTAGAAAAAGAAGAGTCCTTATCTTTATATCTCACATATTCATTCCCAGGTATTACCATGAGGCAATAGAATCGGAGCGATTCATGCGTCAGAGACTGAGGCCTCTTCACGAGAGGATAACTCCTTTCGACGTTCCCAGGGTGACTTCTCTTTATTGTCGACAAGTCCATCGTGATGTGGACTGTGACTTGGGAGGAGGAGTCTACTAATTTATCCCTTGCCATAACCGCAGTGCATTTGACTACACTTCACACTTTGTTAGGGACTGCACATAACAATTTTTGTACTTTCTAAATATCAAGCTCTTTATTTTAAGCAAGAACTTAATCTATATGTATTTTGTTCAAGCTATATTTTAAACTGAGTACCAACTTACTGCTCAGACTGCTCGTACATTTACCAATCCTTTGTATTTTATTTGTGAGTGCCCATGATGTCTTGCCAAGTTGGCTAACAAGTAGAAAGTCCGATGAGCTCTGGATGACTGATAAAGCACAAAAAATTTACACAAGTTTCTTTGTTAAACCCTGAATATATTATCTCCCTTTCTGCTACTCAGTTTAAAAGCAGCTGCTGTGAACCTCTATAAATGCAACATATATATGAGTGCATGCTGTGTGAATCAAAGTCTTTCAAAGTTTTTTTTTTTTTTTGTAACGGCTGTGACATTTCCTTGCAGTATTAAAGAAATGAAACCTGTAAGTCCACTTTGTTTTAATATGTTTTACACATACGTATCTCTTTAAAGAAATAAAATGATCCCAAGATGGTATTATTCGTTAGTTTTCTTTTACTTTCGTCAACAAGGAATGAACTGGCAAAAATGCGAGTGGTTGGCGGGTGCTCTGGTGTGATTTGCTCCTTCTTTCTTTTCAAACATCTATTGTCCTTATCTCCCCATCTCTTTTGTGGTATGTTACTCTCTTGTAACACCTCTAATCTTTGGCACTTAAATGACCTTTTTGTGTTACAAGAGCCATAAAACGCTTACTAAACAGAGCTGGCAAACGGAGTAACATAAATTCTAATCTTTTCATTTTCTGGACAACTGATGCAGGCAAAAACAACAAACTCGAAAACAAAAAAATATAGATAAATCTGAAGAATGTTTATTTACAAACTAATGATCATTTATAACTTGCAAGCAGCGAAAAAAGCAAGGTAACTGACCAAAATGACAGAAACAAATGAAAGAGTAAAACTGATAGATGACAGCTCCAATACAGTGCATGTGCTAGAATGGATCATAAAGTTGTTTTTAATTTCACATGTTTTATAATTAAAACAAGACATCACATCTTCAGGCATCTGACTAAAAAAAATATAACAATTAGTGCACCAGGAATTTTGTTGTAAGAAAAGACTTAAAAAGCAAAACGATAAAGCACTTTTTAAAAAATAATATAAAAACCTTGCAAGGTGCCTGAAGAAAAAATTATTTTAATTAATAGTTTTTAAAAAAAACACCATGGCCCACTGTGGTTCAGTTGTAGTAGTATGAAACAAAGACATTCTAGAATTCAAGGGATCATAATCAATTCCTTGCCATCTGTTAACTATATAAATAATCTGTCATGTCGCATTAAATTTCTTGCCCAGAAAGAATAGGAGATACCCAAATAAATGCATGCATCATATGAAGGGCAGGAGGGAAAAACAGGAGATCTCAGTATTTCTCTTTTCTGGTTTATTGTCCGTGCCTTACACCTGGCTGGATCTGCTTTAATCCCTTCCAAATTAAGTGGAAAAACCAGCACTGTAAGTCTCTCTACTCTGAGAGTAAGAAAATATAGCCCACAGTGGAAGTTGAGTTGTCACAGAAAACCAGTAATGTCAAGAAATTGTTCTGTAATACCTCCCCCTGAAACAAATCAGTGACAATCTTTACGTCATGTGACAACTGCAAAGATAATAAAATGGCAGAAGCTATGCAGTATCTTGAAGTTACAAATGGTGAAATAACATAGGTTTAACACCCCTATCAACATTATTAATATTAAGTTATTTAAGAGGAGGAACCTCTGAAAGGAACGAACCAAATAAAAAATTCATGTCAGACTGAGCTGAGGCTCGAACCCCTGAACTCGCAATCTAATGATTATGGGTCCAGTAGCCTAACTACTACTAGGCTCTCAAGATATAGATACATTGAGAAAGGGAGGAAGTTTGATAAACATTTTTTAAATGTAGACGTTTTACGCCCTCAACACAATTTAGATCATTTAGGAGGTAGGCTTCTGAGGAAGAGAGACAGTACCTGATGGACCTTCAACTTCAATGCGCTTCAAGCAAAGACCACCAAAACAGTATGAACCTTGCGTTGGAAAAAGCGGGCCCTAAATTTTTGTTTTTAATGTAAGCTCGATGAGATAGTCAGAAAAACAGGTGGCGACAATGTGGCAAGCACGTCATTCTACTATTTTCTGCTTTCTGCAGGCTGATGTGATCCACTCACGACCATTCTGTGACACATGCGCAGGACAGAAAAAAAACTGGAAAGCAATCTGGGTTCTTCACCATTTTGTTGTGCACCAGAAAGCTAAAATCTCTTTTCTAACCAGAGGTCACTCACACTGTAACATGAAATGTGACAGACATAGCAGTGGTGAGCCAGAAGGCCAGAGTTAAAATACCTGTCTGGCTGGCTGGAGCAGTCAAGGTAGCTCGCCAGAGACCCTTGCCCTGACAGGTAGCTGAGATGACACAGGCCATACATCTGAATATGTTAAAATAATGTCAGTTCAAACTACCTTGTCTCCTGTCTCATTCCTAGTTAACCTCTGTATGAGATCTTTTTCAAACACAAAGAAAGCTGGAGTGGTCCTTTTGACACTTCAGAGTCACGTCAAAGCTAGAGGGAAAGCAGCGCACCATCAGACTCAAACCCCTGAAACCCACTGTGAAAGAAGGCTGCAGGGAGTTCTTGTGGTTAAGAATCTAAGAAGTATGGTGTTCACCTCTCAAGTCATTTCCCATGGGTCAAAACCTGCCAATGACGAAAAAATGTTCTCCGTTGTCCTCCTTTCCAACAGTTCCGCCATGTTAAAACTCTTTCAACTGACAGGCAGAAACAGTGTTTACACTTTCGATGTACCCCCTAAGTTAAGCCCAGGTAAACGAGGAAGGAAGGGAGGGCCAGCTATATTATATCATTCTGGGCAAAAAGAGAAAAAAGGCTCCTGTACTGTTAACACAACCAATGGTGGTCAACCCACCCCCCTCACTCATGGTCAAGCGTAAGTCTGGGCAGCCAAAACAAGAGTGGAGACATATGACCAATGTACACCTAAACAAACAAATGTGGGCTCCTATTGTTCACAGCCTGGCTGCTTCCACCCCTCAGTGCACTCACCATCAAACCACGACACAAGGTCCCCCGAGTGTAAATACGAAGAAGAACAAGAGGTAGGTGGGCAATGAGCCAGTGCTGTCTCCTTGTGACATAAGAAAGAGGTGAGTAGCATTAAAAGAAGGGAGGAACCAGTTGATTATTTCCTTTGGAAAGAAGATGGTGTGTAAGTACAAAAAACTAAACGGAAATGCTATTTGTTTGTAAATGTACACAGTATGACATAATTTGCCTGCAACAGACATATGACCAATGCTACTGCACGAGATTCCTTTTCTAAACCCAGATCCTTTCAAATTCACCAAGAACTATGCGTGGGTGGTTGGAGGGTGCCACTGGTAGGTCCTACTTCTTTACTGTCCCTCTATTGTTTCTGTCTGTCTTACTTTTTCCCACCACTAAATTACCATTATTGTGTCGATGTTCTTCTCTTTACTCAAACAAACAAGGACCAGATGGAGGCAAAGATTTTTTCTCTATATCCCTTTTTGGAATAAAAGTGTTAAAGCTTAATTTTCAAGTATCAGAGATTGGCACAAACCTGACATCTCTGAGCGTACTCCTTGAGCCCTTCTTATATCAAAAAACAAATGAAAAAACAGAAATCTATATTCAATTCAGGTAATTTTCAAATATGAGCCATTTTTAGGAATTTCATTCAAATTCACACATCAACATGACTGATATTGTTACATGCCAAAATTAGACAGACATTGACACTAAAACAAGAGTAGCTTTTAATGGATATCACTCTTAGTATTCAAGTTTCATTTCCCAGCAATATTCAGGGAATCAAAACTACATCTGATGTCCAGCACAGAGCTCCCTGTCCACAGGATGTACAGCATACATCAACATGGCAAGGAACAGGTTAACTTAAATAATCACAACTACTGAAACTTGTGACTTGATGACTAACTTCAATATAAAAACAAATTGCAAATTTAATGTTGTTTCTTAATTTACAGGGTTGTACAAATTACAGCATAGAATTTACATCATTACTCAAAACTCTGTGAAGTCACCCATAAGACAAATTAATGCCCAAAAAAACTTGAGCTCAGAAAGACTTAGGCTTCTCCACAAAAGATAACAAGTACATTCAGTTTTCTCCCATTCATACTTTCTTTCCAATAACCATTCACAGCCCTCACCTTGCAAAATGGAATCAACCATCCCTTCATTCATCCCTCCCAGATAAAAACATTTTCACATGAATTGTAATTTTACACAGCATAACACATTGTCAATCTAACACAAGGTAACACATTCACAACAAAATCACAAGCATCTTCATGCGGATATTTCAGACTTGATATCCAAGTTGATTTTAACACCAACACTGGCCAGCTCAGCGGCGAGGTAGCGGAACACATACGGCACAGAGATCTGATGGATATCATCTCGCTGCTGACAATGCTGGCAGATGATCTGATGTTTAAACTTGGTATTGCCCCCTCCTTCTTCTGCTTGCTGGACTAACAGGGGAGAGAGTACTGTGTGACATCTGCCGCAGACTGAAGCCTGAAAAAAGAAATAAAAAGAGTCAAAGTCGCACACACTCCCTCCGTACTGAACTCTACAGCAAAAATTTATTGCTCGGTTTATTATCTTGTTGAATTTTTAAAAACGCAAACAATACTCAAGCAGTGCTGTAGTCAAGGATGCCACTGGACTTTTGTAAAAATGACTGAACATTTTTTTAGACTAGATTTAGCATGCGACGAAGTAATAAATGCAACAAAACAACATCATATCAGCTCAACAGTGTACTTCCTTTGATTTAAAAAATGGATCCTCGTGCCACTTCATATATGGAACATCGGCTTCCTGCACAACCATTTTTGTATGGTTAACGGAGAACGGATCCGATGAACAGAAAATGGATATAAGTATTTTAAGAACAGACGATGCCCAAAACAATGGAGAAAAAAGGAAATAACTGAGAAATGGCATCCCTGTGTTGTGCATACACTTAAATAAATTCAGACCTATATAAATAAGCCATTACTATGCCGAACTACATTCACAATCTTAAACACGAAAGAATAAGAAAAAGAAAGAAAATAAATTGACCACACACACATTTTTAAAAAAGGTATTTGGAAATGACAACACTCATTTTAAAAAATTTTTTAAAAACAAGAGCATGCCTCCTGAGGAAAGTTCAGCCCCAAAAGTAACTTTCGGTATCAGTGATTGACACACAAACTAACGTTACAGATGACATGCCGATGTCATTCAAACTGGAAAGTTAAAATTTTAAGCAACTGAGTTATACAGCATAGGCAAAATTGAAAAAGTCAGAAAGAAATACCTTTGATTTGTCAGAGCAATTGAACAATCTGTCCTGCAGTAAGAAACTTGTGCCATGAGAAATGAGGGCATCCCTTTCCATCTCTCCAAAACGAACTCCACCAGCTCTTTTGCGACCTTTGACTGGCTGATGAGTAACTTGATCAACAGGGCCAGTCGTTCGAACCTTAAAAAATAAGTGCATACCCACCATCAATACATAATTTGAACTAAGTTTGTTTTTTTAAAAGGAAAAAGGAAAACAACAAAGTTCACTACCAAAAATCAATATGCATAACTAAGCTGCAGATGATACAATTTCTTTCTGCATGCAATTTATTAAACAGTAGACATACCATCAATAAGGAGCAAATTACTCTAGTCTGGGTCCTGAAATAAGCATTTCTGACACAATACAGCAAAGTGCAATTCTCTGCATCTAATCATGTTTAACACACACATCAATATTCATTGAGCACTTTCCTACTGGAAATGTGCTATACAAATGTAATATTGTATTATTATTATTATTATCTTGATCTTTCTACTGAGACATAGTATCCCTTTTAACCTTGCTGCCATGACAGGCGAGGTGTCTTAATAGGTCAGAAAGGAAAAATCAATCCAATATATGATGCATGATGCACTGCTCAGAGGCAGTGAAGAGTTCAGCTACAAAGTTACCTGGAATTTGTCTGACACCATGTGTCGCAGGCGCTGATAGTAAACAATGCCAAAATAGATATCTGCCTCCATCTCCTGGCCTGTGATCCCACTGTACATGCGCTCGGTGCCAAAGTAGTTGTACCCACCTGACAAAAAAATGACAGTACTTTCATGAACAAAACTTTTTCCTTTATAAACCTGTGCTATTTCTGTCTCTAAATTTGAACATTGCCATCAGCTTTCATCAGAAGATTCAAACATATTTAATACAAGGTCCCTCCTTTCACAACATGAGCTGTTGTCCTCAAGACATGTCAAGGCTCACAAACATTATTCCATGATGCATTATCAGCTATGAGGGATATGACCTCAACTGAGTATTATTTGAGACCTGGAAACAGTCGGAAGAAAATCATAGCAAATGGAAGGGTTAAGCCAGGACCAATGCCGCAGTGAAAGAAAAAACATAGCAGTGAAGGGTTACATGATGTAACCCATGAAGAAACAATATGAAACAGTAGAGGACAAACAAATCATCTTCTTTATCCTAACTGCAACTGATATCCTGAACCAAGGAGCCACATGATATGGGCCACCATTATAAGAGACTATAACAGAAAACCTACTTTCATCTTTCATTAACCAAACACACGACTACTATTATTGATATAAACATTAATCAAAAGCTAATGAATACAAAAATTTTGCCACAGGCATGTCAAAAGAAAGCTTCACTATAAACATTTACATATTAGATGGCCACCTTGTATCACAATGCAGCACAATCTGTCAGCCAAGAAAAATAAAAGTAATGATTTCACAACTATACTGCTATATCATGGCTCAAGTCAACATTTTTCAATCTGTATAAAATTCCATGCAGCTCATCACAGAAAGATTAAGAGCCAGGGTTGAATCCCTTACCAGCAGTAAGCATCTGGCCAAAGTAGTCCACGGCAGGCTGGTTCTCTGAAAAGGTGAAGGGTGTGGCATCCAGGTTCAGACCATGCAAGGCTCCAGCTTTGCCTGCCATACTCTCAATCATCATTCCTGAAGGAGGAAAAATAGATTAGCGATTTTGTTAAATCTTATTGTCAATTCAAACTTAGCCTACATATTCCTTGTTTACCAACTTCAAATTTCCAATGGGGTAAAAAGAGACGGGTTCATAAAGTCTTTTTTTTTTTTATCCAAAAGTTAATGCCCTCTAGAATCCCTGTCCCCTGCTTCTTGATGAGGAAAGTCACATCCAATGTTGAATGGTATTTACAAAACCCAAAACATAAGCCCCAGGCCCAGACCTCGAAGATGAATAAGACAACATTCATGAATTTTTTTTCCATTCTGTGAAGCAAAAACAATAGACATTCCCCCTTCCGTGTTTCATCCAAATCAGCTTTATTCATCTTCAATCTTCCTGCTTTATACAAGTCGCTATTAGAAACACATATGGAACTTTAAAATTTCATCAAACATACCAATGGTCATACGAGATGGGAAACCGTGAGGGTTGAATATGATGTCTGGAACCATGCCACTTTCTGTGAAAGGCATGTCCACCGCTGGCCACAACATACTGCAAGAATGGACAAAAAGTAAGAAATAATCACAGGAAATTGAATTTTTTTTAAAAAGGTTGTGTAAATTTAGCTTCTAATACCTCTTTACTTTTTTTTAAAAGTTCCAGAACACACCTTAGCAACTATGGTTACATCTATGCACTGCTTGACTTGTAAATAAACAATATCTCCTTTGTTTTTCATTGCCTATTTAATACTTCTATTAGCAAAAAGCTATTTCACATGACAAAAAAGAAGCCCATACAAAAATATGTGTGCATCAAAATCAGGCTTAATTAAGGAAAGAACACTGTACAAAAGGAACCCTTCAAATCGAAAAGAATAAAAATCACCAAGCACACCTCATCATTCTTTTTAACACATCCTCTCGATACAACAGAAATATGAAGCGTGTCATGGCCTCTAAAGCTGAAGATTAAGAATTTACCTGCAGATTCCTTTCTGTCCATGTCTGCTGGAAAATTTATCTCCAATAGTTGGGTTTCTCTGAAGAACAAGAAACAAAAGCTCACCATACAACTAAAAGGAACTATACAGGTTGATTGTGAGAAAAATGAGAAAAAGAGAACTCCAAAATTACAACATCATGTCATCAACGTGTGAACCAGCACAGAGAAGTGCTATCAGAATATTTGTCATGCTCTTAGGATAACAATGCGCTTTTCCTATTCTCAGAATTATACATCTGAATTCTGACTGCAGAAAAGTAAATACCACCTCCCTGGCATGTGTTGCAACTGTATGTCCAGTGTTTTGGCTAGACATAGGCAATGAATGCATGAGAGCTCAAGACCCCTAACTTTTGGAGGTAGAATGTTCAGCTCCAAATGCAAAGCACAATGGTCATAAAGCTGTATCTTTTATTAAAATTATGAGGTAAAATAGATCACAAATGTTACTCACATGACAAGAGTCGACAACTTCAACAATACCCCTACAAAATAAAGATCACCACTTCAGATGGAGCAAAGTAATTCGTATTCACAATAACAAGATATTTGATCTCACAACCACAAATAAGCACTGAAGTGAAAACATGATCCTGACAACAGTTTTTTTTATATGTTTAAAAACGTGAAATTATATATCAATGGTGTTATGCTCTAACTTTGAGACAGCTTTCTTTACAATTTTTCAGCATGCAAACAAATTTTCCCTTTATAAATTTTGAGAGAATACATGTGATCCACTGCACATCCAGTAGCCAAATCCTATGTACTTCTGGAAAGAGCATTGTCAATCAATATCTCTAGTGTTATTCGGGTACAAGCTACAAGAAATGGCGAACCAGCATTTAAAACACTTCATTCATTTTATTGCAAGTTTGGTGAAGTTTTATGAGATTCTTTTTTAGCCAGAGTCTCCTCAGCATTGCAATAGAGCTCTTTGAAGTGAAGCAAATACCTGTCACTTTGGAAGTGGATAAAAACTCATGTCTGTTTGACTAAAAATAGATCAAACTCAAATGAGTTGATAGAGCATGGCGATTTTTTTTTTTTTGAGGACCCAAGACTGACCTTAGCAAAGACTTTACAATAAAAAAGGAGTAGACCTACTTCTTGCCACTCACACCGTTTGAGTATAACAACCACTGTTATAATGACTTGACTTGACACACTTACCGCCACTCTCAACACAAAGCAGACACAGTTGAGTTCCCCAGTGCCCAGGTCATCGCCTAGAACTTTGATCTGCTCGACTGTGGCATCCTCCAGACCTCGGTAGTTCACTGTCCTGTACTCTCCTGTGTGGATATTCTTGAAGCTGAAAACAGACGGTGAAAACAATATCACCAACAGCTGCAAGTTGCAAGTGTTTAGGAGGTGATAAAAGTAAAGTATAACCCTCAACGTCTTCACGCATCGTGATGATCATAACCTGCTGTTCCCTGTTCCTGTAAGACAGCAGTAACCACACTGTGGCCTTGGATGTAGCCTATTAGATCAATCATTCCACAATAGGGAACTTTACTTTACTTTGCCTTGCGAAACTGTCACAAAAGTTGGCTAAATATAGCATCATTTCATTTTACATTCAAACACTACGAAACCTTAAAGTATGGAAAACATGGAATTTCGCACAAAATATACATCTTTACTTTCATTTCACAGATTACCATACAATGTGATTTTACTAAGCAAGTACAGCATCCATGTCAAAGAACACATAATGCATACAACTTACTACAATCCAAGTAGCTATTGCATAAAAAAAACTACAACATACAAAAGCTTGCAATCTGCATATGGTCGCACTAAAAGCATACCCCTAATTTACTGAGCACTGCATAACAGTGACACAGTGAAATGCTTATCTGCTTTAGTTAAATGATTTTGAGGCTAAAAAGAAATTTCAATAACTGAAGAATTGTTTCAGAAAAGGTGACAAAGGAATCTGTACCAGTAGTAAGGGGTTCCATCTGTAAGCTTGGCTCCAACATGGGGCAGTCCATCTACATCAAGACTTCCAGTTTTTTCACTGGGGATGCAGCCTGTTGAAACCAAACGAACATTGAAGCATAAACTGAACTTAAGTTTATTCAGTCGAGCAATCAGGTAAACAAATCGAGGTCCAAATTCCTCACATTGTCAATGACACAAGAAAAAGGAAAAACTCATGTTTTTCACATTCACAGTGAAAAAATTATTCACTTTTCTTGCACAGAAACGACAAGGCGCTCTGATCTCTCATTTGTACGTAATTATGATCTATCTATGTGTTTCCGTCTAAAGGATTCAACTAGCAACAAGCCTTGAAGTAGGGAGACTAGAAGTATTCCCTTCAAGAGTCTAGGGACAGTGCAATAACTCTATTGTTTTGCTGTAAAATGAGAAGTCTAGGGACTATAGAATCATTAATTCTTTTGACTGATAATTAAGTGGCTAGAGAACCAGAGTTCACTTAATAATAATAATAATAATAATAATAGATAGCATTTGTATAGCGCATATCCCCGCTCAACAGCAGGCTCTATGCGCTTTACACTATATTAAAAAATATACTTAAAAATTGTAAAACAATATCTGTACTATTGGTCTTAGACAATAGGTCATTCAGGATGGTCTTTGAGTAAGAAATGATTAGGCTGTGGTTTCTAATATATAAGTTGCCTGGAACCAGGTGTCAAGGTTACTCTCCGAGCAAACAATATTCAAAATGTTAACACTGCAAAGACAAAAAATGTGTTAACTCTTGGGGGCCAAAATAAGCAGCGACCTCTTCCCTCCTTTCCAAAAAAAAAAGAACAAAAAGAACAATACAGTTGCCAATCCCGTTTCTGGTTTAACAAGATAACACAAAAGACTCACTAAAGACAAAAGAATGGCGTCCATGCTCACTGCTCCGCTCTCTCAAATCAACCACCTGTTGTAACAGAAACAAAATTTTCTATAAACAATGAGCAACTTTTTACAGCAAACAGTTTGAAATAATTTCCCACTGCACCATGGAATAACTTCTTCCAGGTACCACCCATACAGCAGATAACTTCTGAAACTTCCTAAATATAAATAAAAATATATCTGACACAACATATAAACTAGGAGATAAAAACTGTATACAAAAAAGAAACAAAGTCTAACGAATTTAACATTCAAGAAGAATTCTGGGAATTTCTTGACAAAAGGCACTCCCAATAATTGCAGGGTCATCATTTCTCAATTTTCATTCTGAACAATATAGAGAGGACAGGACCCTGTCAGCATGACATTTGAAAGTTCCCCTTTCACATATTTCTAGATTCTAACCCTACAAAAAGAGAAAAAGGGTAGCAATAGAATATGAAATGGGGCACACTAATCACACTTTTAAAAAATTCCCAAAAAATTAAAGTATTGTATTTTATATCAAAGAAGTCATGCATACAATCACACATTCAAAAGTATTGTTATTTTTTTAACATTGATAACACTTTTAAAAATCCAGTTATTTCCATAAAGCCTTTCAAGCTGCAATGGTCCAAAGTCTGACACTAATAGAAAAACCTAACTTACATCAGATTTGACGATGGAACCATGGCCAAAGCCTCTTTCATAGGACGACTTGTTCAGGATCATTGCATCTTCCATGTCATACCCCTAGGAAAATAAAATATCCATCAAATACACTCACTCACCATTCAAAAAATTCCCATGTGATACGGCTTCCAAAAATCAAATCGCATAAGAGTTTTAAATCAATAAGGCCAAATCACAAAAAAGAACTTCCAAAATTAATCAGTATCCAAAATCTGACAAAATACAATATTTAAGCAGCTGTAATAAATGACAGTTGCTTATGCCTTGAAGTGAGTTCTACATAACACACAATCTTCACAAACACATACACATGCAAGTGTACATTCAAGAAGACAAACACACACACACACACACACTCACAGACACACACCTTGTTATAAATGAGATTTATAAACTCTCTTAAATAATAGGTAGAAAAAAAAATAACATGTCTAAAAAAAAAAAAACAATTCAAAAAGAATGATCAATCTCACAGAAAATGAACTGAATAAAAGAACACACACTTTTGAAATTGTGCTCACATACTGTTAAAATTCTTCCAAAACTTTAAATGTGAATTAATTAATGTTGCCCCACAGGCAGGGGACCAAACTATCTTGACTTGAGCACCAACATTTTCTCCTTGAAACCTACGTCATAGTACCCTCACTAGGCCTGTCTTGTTTCAAATGGGAAGTTTGTAGCTATGTTAGCAACAGAGAAAGTTTTCTTTATGGGAAATACAAGTATCAAATGTGAGAGATAGTATATGAGTAAACTTTAACATGGTTTCTTTTGGTTCTCTGGAAATGATTTTTGAGACATTATATTTTGGTCTCTTCAAAATGAAATTCTCACCTGAGTGACAATGTGACATAGGTAGTCGAATTCCAATTGGTCTCGTCTTTGTTTAAGGTTGGGTTATTTTATTTATTTTTTTTGTTCTTATGTCTTGATTTGAAAGAGAATTTTCTTTGAGGATACTTACAGTGTATGATATGACAGCCACAACAGTGTTGGTGCCCAGTGGGTACTCATCAAACTTGTACGCGTCGTACATCTTTGGTCGGACCAAAGGACTCTGGGGAGTCTGCAGCCTGTACAGTTTGTTGTCTGAGCGGTGAGGGTATGCGTGCAGGGGAGTACCCATCGTCTGCTTTCCCATCTGACAATGATGAACAAAGAAGGATCTTGATACATAAGGCATGAATCTTCATGATATCACAGAGCTGAGACAGTGCTGGCCATCTTACCCTTTTCCGTGGTAAGGTCATTATTCTGAGAGCTTTTTTCAGGTAGTAGCGATGACCAAAGAGGGGCAGCCTTTAAAAAGACTCTTACAATGACAATGACAATCTTTATTCATCTCACAGGGAGAAATTTGTCTTGGTAGTTTACAATGGCAGTAGATGTTACAAAGCTTAGGTGCACTCACGCACATGCACAACAAGACAGGACATTAGTAAATACACGTCTCAAGATCAAGTTAATTGTGATTACCAAATATCACTATTTTTTGTAAATGTTGGGGAAAAAATATACACAGTACATATTATTCAATAGATGGACAGAGGGCAAAAGCGTAACTGTTCAACTCCTTACATCCGGCAAACTGGTCCTAGCGGCTCGCGGTCAGAACGGCAGTGCCGGTGAGCCGCTTGGCAGCAGTTTGGGCACATTCGTTTACAACAACTTCAACATGTTTATTTTCAGCAATTGCTGAAAATGAGTCTCTTTAACCGGGAGTTCCTTCTTTAGATGAAGAACTATCAAAATAGGTTCATTTGTTTTGATTTATTAATGACCAATTTAGTGACTATCGGGTTTCACATCAGATGCAAAAGAGGGCCCACTACATAGCGGGAAAAACCCCTCCGGAGAGGCAAAGCTGCCATACATAAAGATGGACTATAACATAATTATATAAACTGCTCAAATCCACACTCAGTGTTCATTTGAGACAACAGTGACCTTTTTTGAACTGCCAAAGGGCACCAGAAAAGAAAGGGGTAACAAAAATTTAACTAATCAGTTAAAGCTATGTGTCAGAGATGACGTCCAATGGTATTCCAAACATCTCCTTCTACATTCAAAGTCTACATCCCATAGGAGGTACTGCTGGAGACTCCACCACCCCTGACAGACTCCAAGCACATACCGACATCCGCCTAGGAAAACCGAGCACAGCGTTTGTATGGGTAATGGTGGAACCTACACTGTTTTTAGTGTTTTTCATCATTTGCAATAAGGTCATATAAGTGCCAAAGATTAGAGGGGCTACAAGAGAGTAACGAAAAAGAAGGAGAGAGATAAGGACGACAGACACTTGATAGGAAAGGAGCAAACCACACACCATAGCAACCACCAACCACCCAAACCTACATTGTGGAGTTAGAGAGCCTCTTTCTTTGCTTCACAAGACTCAGTCAACAGACCAATTTGAAACAAAGCTGGCCAATGGAATTTTCCCGAACAGAAAAGCCATGTAACAAACAAGAAGAAAATGATACACGGACGGAGCAGATTTTAGGAAGCTCCTCTCTTACCTGACACTGATACATGTTACGTGGACTCTGGTTGAAGTCTGAGAAGGGTGTCATGTTGGCCAGAATACTCAGCATATGCTGCTCACTAAGCTCCTGGTGGGTGGTCACCTGTACAGGAGGGGAACAAAACAGCAGAGTCAGAATAAGGTTAAAAAAAAAAAAAAGTAACATTCTTTTGAGCGTTTTTCCAAGACACAAATTGAGAGCTTATTCCTGTTTGAGATAGAAATGGAGCTGTGAATATGCCACTTCTTCCTCGAAAGGTTGCTAGTCAAAGGGGTACAAAAATGTGCTCAATCGTATAGGTCAAAAACGTGCTACACACATGAAGTCAAGTACCCGAGAGAACCATTTTCATTCATTGCTACATGAATGGAGCACTGTACAGAAGGATTTGAAAAAAAAAAGCTATACACAACTGTCCCATGCACCTAACACAGGATATAACTGGGTGGTGTGAGGACAATAGTGTAAAATGTACTCCTCAGGGCACACTGTTTATGTGAGTAAAGGCCGGCCCTCCACTGTGGAGTAAGAAGATAAGTTTCTTTTCTTGACAAGGAAGAGCTAATCAGAGGACAGAGCAAATATGAAGAAGAAATACCAGCTTACACAACACAGTCTGTTTTTCTTTGTTAGAGAAGCACACATTAACATGGGAGTTGTGCCCTATGGGAACGGCAGGAGGATATAAACAAATAAACAAACTGCGAAAGATGAAATAAGACAGCAGGCAAGTAAGTAATCAGAAGACAGGGACATGACTTGAGAAAAATATGCAATTCATACCCCATCATAAGCTTCATCCTGATTCACGGCCACATCCAGGTACACCTGCTCAAAGGAACCAATCATCTCAACAGCATTTGCATTGACGTTGAGCACAGGTCGAACCATCCGAGCCACAGAGGAGAACAAGTACACTCCAGGATACTGACTGGCAACTTCCGAGTGGGTCACAAGGCAGATTTCAAGAGTAAAGGGCACCTGCAAGACAAAGTACCGGTATTTGTCACAAGAACTGACCAAGAAAATGAGAATTGTTACAGTAAAAACAATATTAAAAAAGAGACAAAGAATTCTTTATAGAAACTAAAAATGTGCATGAAACAAAATTCCATTATCATATTTTTGTTTTCTTTTCTAAAACTTTAATGGAAACATAAATATGGAATGACAATTAGCACATGAAAGAAAAAAACTGACAAATCAAACCACAGTCAAGAAATAGAGATAGAGGACAGATTTTCAGCACCTTTCATTAAGAATAGAGACAGAACATGAATTATGTACTGAGAACAGGTGTCATTCAGCGTGAGAAAAAAACCTCATTAACACACGAGTGATTTTGTAACAATAACAACATCCAAACTGAAGTTAATCCACAGATTAAAGTCATATTAAGAGAAGCACTGTAAGCACACCCTGAGACAAACCCTAATAACACCTACCTCTCCTCTGCCCTTGACTTTGAGAACTCTCAGAGTAGAGATAAATGTGTCCGCTGACCAGGCATTGATGTACCCCATAATTCTTCCATCCAGCAGGACAGTATAACAGTCTGAGGGTGACCAGGGGTTTGGTGAGGACACAGGACACATACCCAGCTCCGTCAAAATGTGATTAAGTTTCTCTAATGGAAACTCAATATTCACAACCTGAAATAGAGTAACGTATTTTTCGGAAAAGTCATACCTCTGAACATCTCCAGCCAGGAGGACATTCAGTCTAGTTGAGACAGACAACTATAAATACTCAAGGAACAAATATGGCACAGGAAATTACTCCTATATCCTCCTGAAAAAATGAATAGCAAATAGAATTTATAGCAAAAAGTACTACCATAGAAGAGCAGCAAGTTTCTCCAGTCATCAACACGTCAGAACTGAGGTTGTGTTTCAGTTGGTATACATTCAGATCATCTTAATCTCGAAGACTCAAAAAGAGCTCACCCATGCCAATCATGACATTACTATTAATCTTGAAAAACAGCAACAACATTTTAAGTCAGAAATGGTACTTAGCATGAACAAAATAAATTTATATTCTAAAACTGAAACAAACTTTTGACTGTGAGATAATTGTGTCAAGTTAGAAACAGGTCCAACACAATAACAATACTTTTAATAAAGATAGGCAGATCAAGACAATAACGATCATAGTAATGGGGAAAAGAGACAAAGAGAGAGACACAAATGAAATGAGGAAAGTTAAGAAATAAGACCTACCAATGGCATCCTTAAATACCTGTTCACTTAAAGTTTTAAAAAATATTAAATAACCCAGCAGAGAAAAATAACCTGCAGACGTAGAGCAAAGGAAACCTCCCTGGCACTCCCTATGCCCCTCCCATTCTCCATAACCAGTACCTCCCAGCTGAATCAATCAGCATTTCACTTTGTTGTTATACACAAAGAAAAAATGGGATGATTTATCCCATGGCCACAGAAAATAACTTGACACTTACAAATAAAAAGAAACCAAAATTTACCTTGCAACCAGCTGTCAAGTGATTGAGTAAACCACAAGGCGTTCCATCAGGAGTGTGCACAGGACACAGGAAACCTGCAATAAATAGTATAGAACAAGAACGGCATTACTCTCAGTACCAAAGACAAACACATGGGACTTAAAGCAGAAACAGCTTTCCCACCTTCCCCTTCTATGATTGTTCTCTTTGACAAATACTTATTCACAGAAACAAACAACATTTTCCCTTTTCTTGTTGCAAACCTGGCACCACCTACTAAACAAAAAATTTCTAGTAATTTTTTTTTTCATGGTGAGGGACTGGCCTACGCCATTCCATTTTCCATCTTCATAGTGCGCAAGATCTTCCTATTTCAAATGTTAACAAAAATGACGCTTTTCCCTTTCTTTTAAAAAAGATTTTAGCAAGGTTACCATTTGTACACCCGTGCTCTTTGTCTAGAACTATTTTTGAAGGCAACCTAAGCAGCTACTACGATATAGGGAGAGTAACCACAATAAACATTTTTGTTTTCCTGAAAAACCCAAACCAGTTCTCAGGACAATAAATATTGTTCAACAAGTTCACAGATAAGAGAATTTTCTTTTATACAAAATGATCCTTTCATGCCATGACTTGTAGGGGCCCCAAAGCCAATTGTCGCACAGTTAACTCACCCACTGCCAGCCATTTTCGGGGTCGCTATTCCCTGTGTACCAGCCTTTTTAAGGGTAATTTTTTTTAATCACTGTGCTTTTGCTAATTAACATAGAGACTTGAAATTTAGAAAATTGTTTTTGAACATAATAAAGAATGCCATGATGAAATAACAGCTTTGTTTTATTGTTACTTTTTTTTCCACAAGTTTTCAAAAATTGGTCAAAAAACTACTTTCCCTTTGCCTTTCTTACTCACGCCCTTCCCCACTACTGCAACCCTAGATCTAAGTTTTGCAGGCCCCACTAAACGTTATTCTTCTTTGCCTACTTTGGTGGTTCGTAAGAAGGATCAATAACTTCCTCAACCAGTTCGTCATAACAATCTTCGACAAATTCATTGGTTTCTGAGTCCCTATCGTTCGAAAACTGTCAAAGACAAGTGATCTGCCATTGTGGGAAACGTAAAGGTAAATTCAGTTCTAATGGCGGTTGTCGTAAAAGTCAATAACTCAACTTGCGCTCGTCCGATTTCGGCTTCGGTTTTTTTTCTAAAGAAAGATAATTGAATGTGCTAAGTAAAAGACGTATCAGTACCGCAAACAGTGGGGTTTTAACGTGAAAAAAAAATTCCAAAGTGCAAAACCATAGGGGTTGTGGGTGTGGTATCACGATGTCGGAGCTACTTTGAGGTAGTGGGTGAGTTAATAGACAACAATTTTCCCCCGAGATATCCATCTTTACAAGCAGAAGGAAAAAAGGTAAAGTAAAAGTTAAGTTACACATTAAACCCTTACTTTCAAAAATATACATTCTTATAGAAGTACGATTAATATTGCAAATGGCAGTACAAACGGTAGACCAACAACCACTGTGACATGGAGGTATATTGACCAACAACAAAAGTTAAAACTTCAAACAAGAGTAATGAGGCAAAATCTATTTTGTCCTTCTGGGAAAATTTCCCCTTGGTCTGACACCCAGTCACGACTATAACCTCTTCACCTTTGAAAGGGCGCCATACCATCTTGAGTTCATTTACTATAAAGAACAAAATAAAACAAACAAACAAAAATAACGTGGAATAAAACTGGCAGAGACAAACCCCAAGCTTCTGGCAGCAGCTTTCTCACGGAAGTAGTCCTCATCTCAGTGAAGAACGAACCACGATGCACAGCCCGGAAGTGGGAGATGTAACGATAGAAGTTCAGCTTGTCTGCAATCACAGCAAATCCACTGGTCTGTAACACAAAGAGACAGAAACATTTTGTGAATTTAAGGGTGGAGCAAGGAGAAGAACTGTGACAACAACTGTCATAATATAGTCAAGGGAAAAAATAATAGGAATATACAGAACCAACATTTTTAAATCCTCATATTTCTTGAACACGCAGATTAACTTTCTTTACCTTGAAAAATTTGATACCCCCTTGCTTGAATTATATTTCTTAGAATTTTGTTGAGATTGGTTGAGTTTTTGCCCTTTAAATTGGTCTCTTTTTTTTTTAAAGACACCCACAGTAATCAACTTCCCTATCCTCACCGACTTATCAAAAAGACATTCTACGAATACTATAAAACAAAGACAGACATGCTCCAGATGAGGGAAAATAAAGAAGACAGTGAGTTTGACGGATAAAAATTGATGACACATAATGAGCAGTGAGGCTGAGCGAGTAAGAGGGACAAAATGTACAAGGTAAGCACACTCTCACCTGCATAAGTCCAAGTCCTGTCTTTGAGATGAGATTTCCAGTGGCCAGCAAATACTCCATGGCTCTTGTGATCAGTGGAGAACTCAGAATGACCTGTCTTATATCAGCTGCAAGACAAACACATTATGCAGGAGTAAAAACAGGTTTTAAACAAAAACTATTTCAACATATAATCTCAACTTTTATGCCCTTTGGCGAAACACATTCAGGAGTAATTGCTTGCACAAGGACCATGCACATTCATGCTGTTAATATTACGGCCTCAGACAATGATAATGCATTACTCGTTTTTCCTTCTTCAACGAAAGCATATGATACGTTTTTGGCAGTTACCCCCGTTGAATTTATATAATTTTTCCAATCTACCCTAAGCCTCTTAAAAATCACCCTAGTTTGCCTAAAAAAATCACCCTAATTTGCCTTAAACTCACCCCAATTTTTGTACTTGTGGATTTCTTACAAGCAAAAATATGTGCCTACACAAAAAATATAAGACAAAAAACAAATTAGAAACAAAAACAAACTGTACTAAACCATGAAGTTTAGATGAGTCATAGACCACATGGCAGAGGACAAAGAGAGAAAGACAACAAGAGCTTACCTAACAACTGCTATCTAGTTTATGATATTGAAGAATGATGTAATTACTGCATTTTTTTAAAAAAAGGTTTCAACAAAATTGTTCTGCCCTTTCTAAACTTCCTTTTCATCAAAGCTGATTTTTAAATCATTGAACTTTACTCACATCTAAAAATTTAGCTGTCCATCTAAAAAAAAAAAAATAATAAAAAGGAGCCTAACACAGGCTCATATCTCTAAAATGTTGTATGTCAGTGCGCTCATATCTCAAGGCACTGTAGTACTTTGCTGTAACATACATACAGGACTTTACTGTACATAAAGTTGAAAGAATAAAGCAGAGAGACAATTTGTGTAAGTATCATACCCGGAGTTTGAAAGGCATCTTTCTTTCTCTTGATCTTTTCCTGAAACATCTTTTTACTCATAAGCAAGACACCTTCCAGTTTTTCCTGAAAAGAATAAGTGGCATCCTCTCAGTAAGCAACTAGAAACCTAGTCATTAATCAGCCCATTCAAACAACTCAATACTTTTCATGTGTGTAGTAAATAAATAATTTTTTTTTAATTCCACAGAGAGCAATTTCTATAATCAGACATCTGTTTTCCTTGCAAAACCATGCTCAGTACTTGCAATATTAAGAGACGTACAGACAAAGCAGGTAAAAATTTACACTGAACATCTTTTTATTTTATTTTCTCATCTTCAAAAAGGAAAACCAACTGGACCTGACTACATCACTGCAGGTGAACAAAAAGCTGATAACGGGACAACAGTTGACATCCTCCATCCACTTTTTGAGAAGATCTTGGATAAAGAATTCCCACCAGGCTAGAAAGGACACCTCATCAAACTCCCCAAGATAGGTGATAATGATAGTCCCGGGCCTAGAAGTAAACGGACAACCTTTGTTTGTGGTCTGCACTCCCACATAATTGAACAAATAAATCAGAGAAATAAAAATCTGATCGTGAAAGAATGAAGAGTTTGCAGTGGCCTGGTCCAAAAAACAAAATATGAGAGGCATTTTTAATGTCATGACTAGCTTTAGATTACCTTCAACACCATCTGCAGTAAATGACCAGGCAACAGTACTTCTTGAAACATTGGGTTGTCTGGATTCTCAGCAGCACACTCTCCATTCACAAAAGCAAACAGTTTTCTGGTCATATACCTGAAATCAATAACAACCACACAATAATACATATATTGTATCTCATGAGCAATCAACTATACAATATACTACACAGTACATTCCTTTTCAAGCATCTCTCCTTTCAAGGCTTTATCACAGAAACATATCTTTGGGAAACAAAATAAACAACCAATATCTAATCATGTACTTTCAAATCCCCCCTGTTCTCATCGAAACAGATTAGAAGATCTGCAGCAAAATTTTTAATGTGAATTCACGTTTTAACTGTTTGTATTTAAAACACCTTGATTTTTTATCTTTGTTTTAGTAGAGGCTTTACCGCACTCGCAACTGCATAAGATCATATGAGCGTCAAGGGGTGGATGTCAACAGAGAAGTCCTTAGAGGGAATCAGACTTACTCTGCTCACCTCTCTAGCGTCAACAGCACAAAGTCTGCTTCGACTTTCAAGGCACCTCGGAAATAGCGGGTCACAAGAGTGTGACATACATAAAAAAGAAATAGAAGGAAAAAATGAAGATAGTAAGGATTACGAAAGAAAAAGAAGCAGTTCCCTGTTGCAGGTCAGGCACAGTTATGAGCATGACATTGATGAATCAGCCCATTTACAATTACAATTCTACTGTGCATAAGAACTCATAATGTTAATGTCCCCCCTTTAGGAATGGCCTAGACACTTCAGTCAGTGGCACAGTCTCGTTGATTTTAAAATAAAATTCAAGATTTTAAGAGTTTCAAGACAAACGCAAGCCATATGGTCACTTTCCGGTGCTGGGTATAGTGCCCCATTCACAGTGATGTCAAAAAGAGAAAAATCTTAATAACAATCCATATAACAACCAAAATTTGTTCACTAAAATGAGTCATAGACATATTTTCAAAATACTTACACTAATAAGTTAAACTTGTCAACATCTTTGTCTAAATGGATCGCAATGCTCCTCCTGAAAAAGGGTTGAAACACACATATCAGTCATGCAAGTGAGGAATGGTATTGGATCCCTTAGACAAAAATTTAGCACCCCCTAAGTGACCACAACAAAGATTCAATGTGTCATAATCAACAGGTTACAGGAAAAATAATCTTACTGTTGTAGTGTTGAAAGTATAATCTATTTTACATTTTAAAAAATTGAATCTACATTAAAACTTTAAAGTAAAAGTTGTGGATCATAAGCCAACACAACTTCACGATAACTCCCTAGGTAGGTCAGTTCATGCTAATTTACCACACGAGTCCCAAGGAAGTGAACGCAGGTAAACAGTATTAGATCGTAATTGACTCAAATTGTATTACGCTATCACAGACAAAATTAAGCTCATTCAAAAGGCAGGAATGGCATAATAAAAGAAAAGAGCCCTGTAACTGTGAAATGATGACAAATCTTCTAGAATGGTTTTTTCCCTACACCCCAACTCACTTGAACAGGTATCTGCCACACTCCTCATCAGAGTACCACTCAGGCAAGGACAGCTTGACCCGGAACTTTTCCCCGATGAATTTCAGCACAGCAGCCTGGGAGAACAGCCTCTCGGACATGACTTGTCTCAACATGAAAATCACACAGCTGTGGATCCAGTCAGGTCACTTATTTCAAACAATTCATAACAACAACATAAAAGACAAACTACATGACACAGGATACAAACCATAGAATCATAGTTGCAAAAGCCATCTCTGGACCAAAAGGAGCTTGGAGAAAAGAGAGGAACTACAAAGAAATAATAATCAATACTGTCTTGCAACAACATATATTTTATAACTAAACTCTATAAGATTGAAAAGTAAGAACCAGCTAACTGATCAGCGTGTAAAAAAGATTTATTTGTCAAAATAAAACAAACTTATGATTTACCCAAAAAAATATATAGAATAGAATATTGCCAAACAAGGAAGCAGGAGAAAAAACAGCCCAATGTCTTCCAAATCTAACTAAATAAAGACAATGTTGTTGTTGTTTTCAAATCCCTTAAGGCTGCGGGCATTTCGCTCTTGGCAGCGCAAATAAAGACAAAAATGCTCTTACTTTATTAGGTGCCAGTGAGACATAAAACCACATAATCATAAATTTGTTACCATTTTTGACACACAGTATCTGTGATTATCATTCTTCTACTGTAACTGTGAATTGGATCAAAACAGTATCAGGAAATTTATAGTATGGTCCACATTAATCTAAAACTTTAAAAAGGCTGCAACTGACAAAAGTAGACCCGTAACTGATCTCCATAAGAGATGCGATTCTTACCCTTTGTAGAATGTGTCATTTTCTTTGCCCCTTGTCAGCTCGTCATAAATGTACTTGTCTGTCACATCCAGGAGACCCTATGGAAATAATCAAGTTACAACAGGTTTCACTAAATAACCTGTCCAGCAAATCCTAATACCCACTCATCCTCAGCAAAGAAGGTCATGTACATTAGAGGAAGATAACCTGCTTACATTACAAACCCAATACAAGAGACAAAATCATAAATACACAAGTAGTTTGTATTTCTCTACAACAATATTGTGAAAAGCTGGAAGGTATCTGGAAAATATTTGTCGGCAGGTCAAATAACAATATTCAACAAATGCATTATAAAAAAGCCAAGATGGGCTATCACAAGCGGTCAGACACAAAGAAAAGACCAGAAAAAGTCAAATTAACAAACAAAACACACTGTTTTAGTTTCAGACAGTCTGCAGGCCAGAGGCCACACCCCCTTTTGAATTTACCTCCATGAAGCAAGAGTACCTCAATGACACACCTGATTAGATTTTGCTATGGCATTACTGACATGCAGTCTGAAACAGTCATGGGTAACAGAAAATTGTCAGAATTGTAAACAAAGCTTTCAACACCACCAAATGTGAAATAGAGGTACATTCAGCCTTTACGTTACTTTCTTTCGGAGAAAAAAAAAGAAGCTGAAATAGAATCCCCAGGGTACCCCATGGCTTAACACTTTGCCGCCTCATCTCACAGATCGGCGAAGTTTACCACTCAGTTTCTTTGGATTTTCCCCAAAATGCCTTTGCCTTTGATGGCAAGAGTTTTTACAATTTGAGCCTTGTGATGGCAAAGTGTTAAGGAACAAAATGACAGAGAGAGGAGACAGATACTAAGAAACATCATAACTTGCACAGATAAAGATGAAAAGCACAATATACAGCTTTTGAGAGAAACGTTAGTGGCATATACTCCACAGGAAATTAAAAAGCGAGCGAGAGAAAACAAAAGAAAGAGTTTCTTAGCTTCACTGATGTTACCTTCAATACAAGAACAATTGGTACAAAAAATACTTCTTTGTTGAGACCAAAGGCCAATTTTGCAGATCCCCCTTGCAAATAGTGAAGTGTGAGCGTCTGTGAATGGAAAAAAATGGCCATATATTAATATACTAGTAGTGCAAAGATAGAAACCAAAAAAAAAAAAGTCTTTTGATAAGCTATTGTATAATCACATCAAAGGCAAAACTACCTCGGATTACCATAAAAATGCATCTAATTCTCACAACATACAAATTATTGAATACATCGCTACATTTTCTTTAATCATATCTATTCTTCCTTTGAAAAGTAATTCTTTTAAAAAATTCAGCGTATAGTGTTAGCAAACATGTATCACAGGCGATTATGATTTATAGGTAAATTATTCTTTGAAAAAAAAAAATGAACATTTATTTATTCAAGTAAACGGCTCGTACATTTGAAGTCTGGTCTTCCTGGACGCAGCGTATAGAGATACCATATTCTGTGTACTCTGGACCTCGCTTCTTCCATGAGGACCGACAAAGGCACAAGGGCTGAGGAATAAAGAAGAGTGGAGTTTTACACAATTCTCAACAAACACTTTTGGGTGATTTAAGAACTTAAAAATAAACACACAAGGTAAAAAAAAGATGCAAAGAGCTAACTGACAACAACTGGCATCAAACTTTAAAAATAAAGGACAGGCATAAAATACCATCTGTATTAGACAGGTTGCAACATAATTGAACTTTAATAGTTTGACCACTTTTCCCGGTGAAGCAGCTTTAACACAAGACTCTCAATGCAGCCTACATAATTCCCGACTACATCAAAGCTGCTCTCTGTAGAGGATGCAAGACTCAAAATATATACCAAATGGGTAACCATTTTTAGGCTTACCCTACAAACCAAACCTAAGAGAACCAGCTACGTATGCCTGGAGTAACACTTGCATAATACAGCCATAAGCTCATTAAGTAAAATAAACATCGGTTAAAAAAAAAAAAAGGCCACAAATATAATAATATAATTATATACGAGGCAGTGTTTACAACAAGAATGCGATACTTACATAGTTTCTTCTTTGTTGAATGAGAAGACGAATGACTTTTTCATTTCCTCCAATGATAAAATAGCCACCCATTTCCTTTGAAAAAGAAAAAAAAATTGAAATCTGTAGTCAAATATCAAATATAAATACATAAGAACTGGAATTCTCAAGATACATCAAAAACATATTGACTGCTCAGTGTAAGACTTTTACATCACCTTTCAAAAAAGAATATTGTGGCGTCTTACTCTAAGCAGGCGATATAGATATCTTACAGTATTTTCTGAAAGAACAGTTATATACTATAACATTTATTTTCCTGGAACGGGGAGCACAGTGGCGAGTTGTTTTCTTAATGCATTTCAGAAAATAATGCCTTTATCCGATCCATATATTAACAACTGTGTGACTTAAATAAGCACAATCAATCACACTGTTACTTACCTCCTCTTCTTCCCCATGCGCGATCAGTGCACTGGGCTTGAGGTTCGCAAGATTGCAAGCATCTGACTGTAAATGAAGCAAAAGTCAAATTTTAAGTATCAGTCAGTTTAAAAAAAACTATTTGTCATAACCGAGTGTGCAAGCTACCCCCCAAAAAAAGGAAAAAAAACCAAACAATCTAAATTGTCGGCTTTTACTGTGTATGGCATAGTTTATAGTACTATCAACAAAGTAATAGGTCAAATATCTACAATTAGTAGTTTTGAGCAGCACAATCATCACAAAACAAAGAGCGTGCTGATATATATATATATATATATTTCTTTTTTTAAATAAAGGGCACCATCACTATGGACCACAAAAAAGGCATCCACTTTGCTGAAACTGTAAATAACCTTTTCATTTGAATCAGAAATACAAAAACCAACTTTTTTTCCAAACCATTAGATTCCACGAAGGCAAAAAAAACAAAAACAAAAAAATAAATATTTTCCCGTACCTTTACCATGATCGGTATTTGGCCTGCAACTTTCTCCACTGAGCCTGATTTCCCATTGCTCAAGGAATAGGATATGATGGTTTGAACCTCCCCTAGATAGGACGTTCTTCTCTCTCGGCACTGAGGATGCACGGATACCATTAGTGAAAAACTAAACAGTACACATGTAGATAGACTTTAAAAATATTCCTAACATTAACAGAAGAGCAATTTTTTCATAAGACAACACATTTAAAGAAACATTTTAATATAATGAGGACATTTTATTAAGTTCATGAAATGGGGAACAAATTACAAAAGAGAAAATGTTCAGCAGCTGTATTTTAAGAGACTGGCACAAGTATGGAGCCCGTAAACACACCTAATGAATCTGTTCATCTTTTCTTTACAGCCAATAAACAGTTTTTTACAGTTATAGAGGTCATCTTTCTAGAAAGAGGATGGGATTTTTTTTTTTATAATTAAATAAATAAATGAAATAAAATAATAACAAAACAAAAGAAAGATAACAATGAATGGGAAAAGGGGCCTATACAGCTTAGAACAGAGCAGCCAGAACCATTTTAATGAAACCTTGAAAAGTTTCACAAACTACTAGAAATACACTGAAAACTTTTCAAAAAGCTTCAAAACATTGGCACATTGGAAAAGTAATAGTAATAATAATAAATAGTATTTATATAGCGTATACCCCCGCTCAACAGCAAGGTCTATGCGCTTTACACTATACACATTATATGCATTAATTATGAAAAGATGTATTTCATTTGAGCCTTACATATTAGTGAAAAAAAAAAATACAAGCAGAATTATCATTTGCCACTTACATAAGCAACTAATGTAGTTTTTTTTAAAACAAATATTCTTAGTACCTGTCCATTATTATGACAAATCATGGAATCAATATCATTTTTTATATAACCCATAAACTAATGGCAAAAGGTTAAAAACGTAGGTGGGTCAAATTCTTGAATTAATGGTAAGACTGCAAAAAGTGGAAAACGTTGTTTTTGAAACTATGGTGGTAACGTGATGACAACAAATATAAAACTACTATGAAAAAGTTCTTAACCAGGGTTCAACTTATTAATAACTGCTCCTGTGTTTAATCTCACCTCTGCAGGGTAGACCCTAGAGTTCACAGCATGTTTATTTCCAACATGGACCCTGGGAGGAAATATGTTCACTTTCTGAGGAACAAAATCAAAAACCATGACAGTGAAAATGGAAGTCTCTCATTAAGTTCCATGGCAAGTCTTAACTACACTATCATACTTTACTTTACTTTTCCGATCCAGCGGCCATTTGGGTTCTAGCCCTTCGGTCTGAACTACACTATCATCACAAGCAGGGTCTCTTGATAGGCGGTTCTTCAAAGTTTGATGCAGGTAGCTGTCATATTTTCATGTCTCATTATGTCCAGGGTTAACATTAATTTTATTTTTTCAGAGTTGATCTTTAGAAATGTAAACAATAAAAAAACTTGGGTATTGAGTTTGAGCGCAAAAAGATTAAGTCTCAGAACTAAACAAAGGTGAATTGAGTTAGAATGAAAAAATTTTGATAAAAACAATAATTGAACAAACACTATCATATAAGGTATAAAAAGTACAAATAATACTCTGGAACCCCTAGAATATTTCACTAATAAACAAAGAAAATAATAATGACACAGTGGTAAAATAAAATAAATCATTAAACATCAATGTGTCTAGTTTTTAGTAGAGGTTTTACGGCGCTCGCAACTGTATAAGGTCATATGAGCGCCAGAAGATTAGAGATGCTACAAGAGAGTAACAAACAAAAAATAAGAAGGGGAGATAAGGACGATATATGTTTGATAGGAAAGAAGGAGCAAGCCACACCAAAGCATCCGCCAACCACCCACACATCAGCCTTTTAGTACAAAAGTGGGCATCCAATATGGACAAGGGAAAAACAAGTTTAATTAAAGTGGAAACAACAATTTCCCATAACTTACAGAAATCCCAATTCTCATCTTAAGCCTCTGTCGTCCTTCTTGTTCATCAGTAAGATAAAATTCCACTGGATCCATGTGCTGCAGGGAATAAAAGGAAAGTAAAATGGAGAAAAAAAATAATAAAATAAAGCATTTCAAAACATAACATGCGAGGTAAACTACAATATTGGAGCAACATAGAGCCACTTAAAATGTTTTATTACAGCTCAACACAGGCCTTGCTTATCCCCATGGACGATGACAGCAAAAGAACTTAGACAGAAGATAAGGAATTAATGCTACATCAGCAAGATAGAATATATCATACAAAATACAATGCATATAAAGTTATTCATATCATGTAAGGAAAAGAAATAAACACTGAAAAAATTTCAGTACTGAATTAATGATAACAACCCCCCCCCCCCCCCCCCCCCCCCCCCCCCCCCCCCGCCTAATGACATACATGGCTGTCAACTTTTCAGAACCAAAAATAAAACTCTATGTACACAGTAGATCAAGATGGTGGGCACTGGACGAGTAACCACCTCCAAACCCTTCACACAAAATTTTCTGCATGCAATAAATTCAAACTACTCCAGCCAAACCTGAAACACACAATGTCAGAAATGTTTGAGCAAAGGTCTCGCCAATTGATTTTGACTTATATGGTCTTCGTTCATATTAACATTTGCAAATCATGTGTAGAAAGTTCATAATTTTTCTTCTTCAAACATTTGCTGGTCTGTGAGGAGCAAAACTAGAAAACAGATAATACGTATTTTAGGACACAAAAACGTACTAATGTACTCAGACCCTAATGAATGTACTAAGTGTTTTTACATACTGGTTGGCAGCTATGACATAAAATTTGAAACTTGTCCAAAATCATTGTAAACCTCTTTTCAAAATAGGAAGATCAAGTTATAAACAAAGCTAAAGCTATGGGCGGAAAAAAAAAAGATTAAATCACTTACCTTGACAATTTTGTGGATACCAACATTGTAGAAATAATTGAAAGAATCAACATGAGCCCGTGTGACATCTTGGAGCATCTGGGTAAAAAAAAAGGCACCTGTTAAACCTTTCATTACCATGACAATGGTGTGTGTCTCATATGCAGCAGAAGATAATAATCTGGTACTGATCTTGTTGAAACATGAATCAGGGGGACACAAAAAGTAGTCTACACCACAAAACTAGAAGCCAAAGAAGAATTTCCCAAGTAACAAATGGAATTGACTTGTGGCTAATATTCTATGATTGAAAGATAAGATTACAGGTCCAAGATACATACTGACAGAGTTCAGTTGCACTCCAGACAGTGACCCTATCATCATCATCGAGTTCCCCTCTTCAAGGTTGACATCTAAAGCATATAGTTCCTCATTCTCTCTTCAGTAAACATTGATCACGTTCGTGACCCGATCATTCAAAGGATCCACACTACATAAAATTGGCTCTTTTATCCTATGAGTATGCAGAACACTTTCTTCCAAACTTTATGACACCAGTTAACGTGTCTTAAATGAAGTTGACTCCATATGTGCTGAGCAGTTAGAAAAAGGTGACGAGCTTCTTCATGTGTGGACACTAAAGACCTCCACCACCCAGTCTTTGAGTTTAATGAACGATCCAAAAACCGAGACATTCCTTGAGTGAAGAGGGAATTTTTGGGAGTGCATAATGAAACATCAGGTTCATTGAGCAGATCTCATCATGTTGGCGAAAAGTCAGCAGATCACGGGCAGCCACTTCTCAGATGGTAACTACTGCAGTTGAAGCCAAATCCTTCTTCTGTTACTTAGAATTAAAGAGCCCAGTTTGCGCCAAGGACAAAAACTTTGCGAAACATCTTGTTTTGTCAGACTTCAGTAAATTTTTAATTCACTCCTTTTTGCAGACGAACCGCTTTGGGGGCAAAGTCATCATATATTTTTTCATATATCACACATATATATGTCCACGAAAACAATTGCAAATCAATAATAATAATTGTTTTCAAAAGTCTCAAATCAAATACTCTACAAAACATCAAATAAAGGGAAATACAGGAGGCGAGGTCATTTCCCTTATAGGCAAAAAATATTGCAATTAAGCTTATGAAAAAGTTCCAAACAAAAACCATCAAATATTTCTAAGTAATTTTTACGGTCATGTGAAGATGGTGTTCGGAGCCATTTTTACTGTCATTAGATTACATGAACAATTTATGTTAACTTAGATCTGATGTTGTTGTTGTTATTATTGTTTATTGTTGTTTTATTAGAAGTACTGCTGTAGTTCAAATGTGAAATCTGGATTTTAGATCTAGTAAGAACCGGATTTTATTGGATCTAAATGTTTTAAAACTTGGTCATTTTAGTTGGGAGCTATTCTGATTTGTAAGCAGCACGTACATGTTTAGAACCATAAAAACGCTTTTCATTTATATGATTCAGCTTTGTACTCCTATCACTTGATTTCTTAATCTTTTGTCTTTATTAGGAGTCGACCCTCATTAATCACTTGATGCTATTAGGAACCAGAGATTACACCCAACCTAGTCATGACAAAATTACAGTGGTTTGCCCATTTTTAGGCATAAAGTTAGGGTCAGGGTTGGGAGATGGCTAGGGGTTGGGTCTCTTCTTTATTGTGTTTGTTGAGGGTTAGAGCTAGGATGTGGGGGTAAAGGTAGGGGTAAAGTTTGGGACAGGGTTAGAGGGTAAGGTCTCTTCTCTATTATGTTTGTTGAGGTGGTCGCTTGTTTTGGAAGTGCTTACTATTGTTATGAGATTGAAAGGG